TCCTTTCTTTTATTAATCCTCTATGGGAGGCAGGAGTGCTCGAAAATACCTCAACTGTTAACAGGTGCGAATAGCAACCACACACTAGCAAAGTTGTCATCACACTTCCGAAAGTTACTTAGAAGCAAACTGATGGAGAGTTTACTCCCTGACAAGTTCCAGTATCAAATTACTATAAAAGTATTGCGAAAAGTTTGGTTGTCATTACCGGCAAAGTCGAATCCTTGAAAGCTGACAAAAAGGCTTGGCAGAATTGCATCAGACATTTAGCTACATCTCAGCAACAGCAGGAAACTGCAATTTGACGGGTCGGGCAGTTCTACAGAAACGATGGTTTTATACCTTAAAATTTGAACATCTTGAGTTCTGAATTTTCAGTCAACTTTATTCAAAATTTTTTGCATGTTTTTCTTTAATGAATACAGTTCTGCTGATTTTCTAGTGGTTACTCCATATGCGGTTGCCGCACAGTGTGAAACAACGCACCATTGGCCAGCTTCTACACAGGCTTTCCTGTAAGTTCTTTTTTTCCAAATCAATAACCGGAGTTCTTTTTTTGTCTGTAAAAATTTAAACGGATGCACATTTATAGCAGTTAACATAAAGATTTGGACTACTACCTGGACTACTCAGACTAGTTTTCATAAGTTATCATAATCTAATGAAGAAAAGAATGGGTGTTGTAGCGGAAAACCTGCGAAAAGCCGGCAAATGTTGAAAGGGTATTTTAATTTTAGTTGGTATGTGTTTATGTAAGATGTAAGGGAATAAAAGATGCTGCAGCAGCCCGATGATACAGAATATGTGCGCGAGTGTCACACATGCAGAATAAAGGCGCGCGCGGCAAAGTGCTTGAAGCACAGCGGCTTGCGGAGTAGTGATCTGGCACGTCTCATTTGAATGTGAAGGGGAGCGATTCGATTCCCTCTCGGTCCTTAACTATTTTCAAAAAGCCGCTGCGTTCAGGAAAAGATTTCTCCACATGTCTTAAGAAATTTCCCTCTTAATGCTGAGGAGTTCCAGCAGTTACAAGTGTTGACATTGTAGCTCAGTGGGTTAGCAGAGAAGTGCCGGAGGGAACTCTGCGCGAGTTCGATTTCGAGCTCGGAATCGTTGAGCTTTGGTATGAGGCAATTGTCGGCGGCGTTTCACGTTGTCCGATCAATTGCTTGCGGAGCAACGAGAGTTTGCATCATATCAGACATGTTCTCGGTCCGCCATACCGCATATCAGAGGCCTGTGTTGGCTCCAGCCTACGGATGCCCGGGCGGTGTTGCATATTCCTGATCTTGGCATAGTGCCGATGGCGCAAGGACTGCTCGGGAAAAACCATGCAACAAACATTTTGTTTTGACAGAATTGAATTCTCGGTCTCCTTGCCCCCTTCAAAGTGCAGGCGCCCCACGAGAGAATCGAATTGCTCATTTTCACTATCTCCGAATCCTTGGAATCGTGATGTCTTAAGTACTGCACTAGGGGGCTCGTCTCCTTCAAACTTAGAAAGTGGAGCATTCCTGTCTTTATGTGTGAAAGTCACAGAAAAACATCATAGCCAAAATTAGCATTAATTTTTCCTCATCCCGCCTTTATGGGCATTTTGTGGGTGTCCTCGGTAGAATGTCTGATAGCGCAGAAGCGATGAATAGATTGAAAATAGGCTACGTAATTCATTTCCTCCTAATTTACAATTTCAAGTTCAAGTACAGGCTGAAAAAGATATCTTGAAAAGGAAGGCTTACACATGTGAAATGAAATTAAAATTAAACAGATATGTTGTTCAGCTCGAAAACCAAATGAGGTATCGCACATTCTACTAACAGGCGGTGGATACAAACTGAAAATATGTAACGCACCGAGGACAGGTGGAGACCTGCGCAGCTGGAGGGGTGCTTCTGTGGTATTGGATACAGCAATCACCCAGACCAACAAACAATTCTTTATTTATTAAAAAAACACACAAAGAGAAACAAACCAAGAAGCGCGAAAGATTCAGCAACAGCTCGAAGCTGCTGCCACACGATGCACAATATGTAGAGCTGAGGACGAGAAACGGTAGCACCTCCAAGCTGCTCCGCACAATAATCTGGCACCAAAAAACAATCACCATTTCATTTCTAATCACATCATTATGTATCACGGAAGGCAGTGGAGGGAACTTGAATCAAGAGAAGCGGAATTTGCATATCACATGGGATCGAAGGGCAGCTGAGCAAGGCGAAGGGAATTAGTCGCCAACTTCATTACCTTGCTGTAAACTCCTTCCTTTTGCAACAAGTGTGCAGCTCGAGGTAGCTGGCATAGCTATGCCTGACGGGTGCGAACGTTCCAGAAGTATTATTAACGTGGGATTGCGCAATGATGACCCAGGCGGTTTTCGTACCCTTGGAAAAAAATGAGATTACTGTAAATAGTTAAACATACATAATTAAGAGTGGAAGTAATGAAAAAAAGAAGGAAAAAGGCATTGCGAGTTGAGCTCTAAAATTACAACGTTCATTTTCCCTCCCAATGCAATATTAGTTTTCGAAACTACGCACATTATGGTCATTCAAATTCGAATTAATATTATTCCAATCATCCAGAACAGAACAAATCACATATCCAGAATGAAAGAGGAAGTCCAGGCTTGACGTGTGGCTGATCTCAGCAGTTTCAAAAGATAGAAACTGATAATCTTGTGAACTTATTTGTAGATTATTAATCATTGCCTGGCTATGTTTACTGAGCATTGGTACATTAATTGATGTGCAAAATCTCTGTCCATCAACTTATCAGCGACTTACTGTAAGTTCTGTATATTATACTTGATAACTCAAAATAATTATCCTGTTTATTATTGCGTATTAATTCCATTAGGCTAGCCAGCGACGCCGTACATTTCAGAGCAGTCCTGGTTATGGAGTAATTTATTTCGTTTTGTTGTCCTGCACTTCCACACCAATTTTCTTTAAACGATAATCGGTTTAGGTGCCAACGTTCTTGACCAATTTTTTGTGCGTTTTTTGCAGCAATGCAATGCGAAAAACGCATATTGACGAGAGGTTGTCTGTGTGTTCGTGTGTCTGTGTGCCTGTGTGTGCGTCTGTCACGCACTTTCATCTCCGGACCTATAAAAGCTGCGATGTGTCTGTGTGTGCGCTGGGCCTCTGTATCGGTTTTTCATCTCGAGACCGGCAAAAGCTACGGAGCTGAAACTTTGGGGACTTGTGCGTGTGTGTGTGCGCTGCGCGTCTGTACCGATTTTTATGCGTTTTGTGCTGTGTAACAGCCGCGTTTTTTGCAGCTATGCAATGCAGAAAACGCATATTGACGAGAGGTTGTCTGTGTGTGTGTGTGTGCGTGCTGTATGTGTGTGTGTTTGTGTGTGTGTCTGTGTGTGCGCAGCGCGTCTGTACCGATTTTTCATCTCTGTTTGTGTGTGTGTCTGTGTGTGCGCTGCGCGTCTCTACCGATTTTTCATCTCGAGACCCACAAAAGCTACAGGGCTGTTTTGTGTGTGTGTCTGTGTGTGCGCTGGGCCTCCGTACCGATTTTTCATCTCGAGACCGGCAAAAGTTGTGTGTGTGTCTGTGTGTGCGCTGCGCGTCTGTACCGATTTTTCATCTGGAGACCGGCAAAAGCTACGGGGCTGAAACTTGGGGGGTATGTCTGTGTGTGCGCAGCGCGTCTGTACCGATTTTTCATCTCGTGTTTGTGTGTCTGTGTGTGTGTGTGTCTGTGTGTGCGCTGGGCCTTTGTGCCGATTTTTATGCGTTTCGTGCTGTGTAACAGCAGTACAAAACGCATATTGTTACGGGGTTGTCTGTGT